TTTTTATCTCACAATCCAAGTTTAAATCTCACAATTCTGCCTTTTTTTTCTTAGAATCAGGAGTTTAAATCTTGCAATTCTGAATTTTTTTTTCTCAGAATTCTGAGTTTAAATCTTGCAGTTCTGTATTATTTGTTTTTGGCATGGGATAAAAAAAAAAAAAATGCTAAATGCGACTTTTTATCTCACAATTCTGAGTTTATATTTCACAATTCTCACTTTTTCTCCAAGAATTACCAGAAAAAAAGTGTCTTAGTTGTGAGTTTAAAAAAAAGTCACAATTACCTTTTTTTTTTTTTTCTCTCCGCTTTTTAAAAATTCTTTGCTGGAAATAAGCTTCCATAAGAACATGATGTTTTGGGGACTATTTTACTTGAAATAATTCAGTCTATGTTATATTGTTACATTATCTCCACAATATATTGTAATTGGTTTACATGTTGTCAGATGTGTCATGCAAACATACAAGTTCACTCTGATGTGATCTGGTACCATTTATCAGATATTTCTGTGTTTGTTTGTTTATTGTTAATTTTAGACATAACTGTGATCAGTTTGATTGTCTAATTATGCGACTGTACTGGAAACTTTAACATTCGGGTAGCAACTGTGTGCAATGTTTCCAAAGAACCTGGAAAACCTTTTTCAAAGCTTCTTTAATTAGTATGAAAACATAAATGGGGCACATTCACAAATGATCTCAGATAATAAGTTGATTCGTAATGATGTGTTTTGTAGGAATACAAGGTGTCGAGCTTTGAGCAGAGGCTAATGAGTGAGATCGGGTTTCGTTTGGAAAGAACTCCAGTTGAAGAGTCGGACGATGAAGTTCAGCACAATGAAATTCCCTCTGGAAAATGCATCGCACCCATCTTCAACAAGAAACTGAAGCACTTCAGAGCTGTGGAAGGGATTCCGGTCACATTTACCTGTAAAGTTGTTGGAATTCCAATTCCTAAAGTGAGTTTTTGACAGCCTGAGATTTTATTGTAATGCATGCTCAGAAAATAACACTTTTATTGTGTTCACTACCATTCAAGGTTTGGGGTTGGTAAGACTTTTTTTTGTTGTTGGTGTTTTTGAAATTAGTCTCTTCTGCTCACAGAGGCTGCATTTATTTGATCAAAAATGCAGTAAAAATTGTGACATATTTAAACAATTTAAAATACCTGTTTTCTACGTGAGTCTATGTTAAAATGCAATTTATTTCTGTGATGCGCAGCTGTATTTTCAGCATCATTACTCCAGTCTTCAGTGTCACATGATCTTCAGAAATCAGTATAATATGCTGATTTGCTGCTCGAGAAGCATTTCTGATTATTATCAATGTTGAAAACAGTTGTGCTGCACAATATTTTTGTGGAAACTGTGATACATTTTATCTTTCAGGATTCACAGATGAATAGAATGTTGAAAAGAACAGCATTTATTTGAAATCTTTAGTAACATTATAAATGTCTTTACTGTCACTTTTGATCAATTTAATGCATCCTTGCTGAATAAAATTACTAATTTCTTTTAAATAGCTGAAAAATCCTGGTTAGTGTGTGTAGATTAAATAATTAATCATTACTATTTTCTAAATAATTTATGTTTCCTATACAGTTGATATTAATTTCAATCTTCAAGCATGTATATTGTCCAAACTACTTGTTGATGGACTTTTATTTTGTACTTTTCACACAGGTTTACTGGTTTAAGGATGGAAAGCAGATTTTGAAGAAAAACGAGCACTATAAGAAGATCAGAGAGGGTGATGGGACGTGTTCATTACACATAGAAGCCGTCACAAGTGACGATGACGGCAATTATACAGTCATGGCAGCGAATCCACAGGTAACATGCTGGAGAAAATCATCAGAAACGACTGTGAATTGTAGTTTAAATGACAGTCAAGCCTGTTTTCATGTCCACAGGGTAGAATAAGCTGCTCTGGCCATTTGATTGTCCAAACGGGTCCCGTGCGAAACCGGACCATGGTTCACTCGCAGAGGTGAGTCGGATCAAGTTTTCATACATATATACACTGCCGGTCAAAAGTTTGGGATCAGTAAGACTTGT